ATATAATAATGTACAGAAAGATGCACATATTTCAAAGTGGACTTTCTTTACATTTTGGTAACACCCATGCAACTCTGCCAATCGGGATGGAATTGCCACCATTCTAGAATGGTCTTCTGCAGTCACATCCCCAGCTGCCTGCAAGGCAACTACTATTCGGATTTCTGTCTTATAGATTGACTTTTGCCTGTTGCCAGTGTCTTCCCAGAACCTCGGTCACTGGTTCTAGCAGTCTAGTACCATCTGTGTTCAGAGTCCCTCTGCTCCCAGGCTGAGCGGTGGGGTAGGGGGTGCTGAAGTTCATTCAGGGGGCAGCCCAGAAGGATCTCCAGAAGCTGGGAAGTTTGGTGCAGTGCTGGTGTCACACTGTAAACTATTTAGACTGCTGCCCTGCATTCGCCCTGAGTCCCTTTTCAGCATCAGTGTCCCTTCTGCCCAGTTCCCCCCAACACCCTTACATTGGTTGCCATCCCTTAGCTACCTCTGTCCCCTGATGGTTACTTGGAACTCTCATGTCCTTCATCTTCCACTGTAGGACCCCATAAGACACTGCAGAGCTGCAGCTCCTGTTGGTCCCAATGAATGGCCCGTGCCTCAGCTCACCAGAGCAACAGTTCTACAAACTTATCACTGAGCCTCACTTTCTTCATTCATGAAATGGGACTGTGACAGTCCCTGACCCCAGGGATTGTTGTAAACACTGGGTTTGGCACAGGACTTGGCTTACTGAAGCGACCATTTCAGTTTCAATCTGTGTGTGTGTGTGTATGTGTGAGTGTGAGTGACATGGGGATTAAACCCAGTGGTACTCTACCAATGGGCCACATTCCCACCCCTTTATATTTTGGGACAGGTTCTCAGTAAGTTGCCAAGTCCCTGGAAGCACAGGGATCTTGCCCCTGTGCCTGGCTCTCTAGATTACTTTAAATACCTAATATAATGTGATGCTGTGAAAATAGTTGTTACACCATATTGTTTTGGGAGTAAGAAAAAGGAGTCTGAATATATTCAATAAAGATGTGATTTTTTTTCTAATATTTTTGATCTGTGGTTGGTGGAACCCACAAATGTGGAACCCACAGATTCAGAGGACTGGATACATAACTTCACAGGGTTGTTCAGAGGAATTAAAGAGTTAATAATGGGGGGTTGGAGTTGTGGCTCAGCAGTAGAGCCCTCATCTAGCAC